AGTGAGGTTAAGCTCGTGTGGCATTGAGGGTTTGAAGACGTTGTTCAGCTATGGTTCATAGGCATATTTTACATCTAAGACCCCTTAATCCATGGGAGTGTGTCTCTGATTTCATTATGTACTTTGAAGGGATTTTGAAGGAAGAATCTGGCCTTCTGTATAGTAACTAATTTTTTTTTAGTGTTTTTATTTGTTACCTACTGTTTTGCTTAGCGGTACTTAACGGGAAAAATATGCTCCTGTTTATAACTACTGTTCATCCATCAAATTCCTGAAACAATGACTTTGTTCAGCATTTATATTTAGTTTTTAAATTTAAAGTTTTTAAATTTAAAGTTTTTAAATTTAAATCAGAAAGGATAGCCATCACAGTGTCCACTAAGAAAACTGCAAGGTATTTTGCAGTAATAAGTAGAATAAAAAAACAAACAAACACATGACCACACCTATGAAAATTATGAGGCTGACCTAAGACATATATTATAAATTCAGACAATTTACTAGGAGGGAATGTGTGACTTCTCTTCTTAAGTAACTATTTAATGGTTAGCGATTTTCAAAATCTGCCTCAAGGCTTTCAGGTTATCACAGAAGTTGTACTCTAATGTTTTAGGATATGGATAAGTATTGATTATTTTTTTTTTCTTCCCCAAACATCTGTGAAAATTGTAGATACTGTGTCCCCTAGCCATTTGTCTCCACTGCTGTGCCATAGATTACCATGCTTAATGATCCTTTCCACCAAAGAAGCTGTATGCGGTGTTTCGTGCTTTAGGCATAATCAGCAGATAAATGGACTCAATCTACCTTCACTGGTCAGTTACCTTGATTAATTTTTCCTGAAGGGATTACTGTGCTCTCACACCATTCACTTGTGCAAGTATGTATGGGTGGTAACCTCTCTTTGCTGGGTGGCAATGAGTAACTGGGCAGTAGCTATTGCTGGAAGAGATGACCTGTCTGCAGCTTTTCACTGATGTTTTCTGAAACAAATGTGATGGGTTTTATTTTTGTCTGCTGCTGAATAACATCATTTTTTATCAAAGCTATTTGGGGAGCTGTTGGCTGAAAACTGCTGTCCAGAGATGTGTAATTTCGCACAATATATGCAGATGATATTTTAGTTGTGTGTAAGTTATAAACCAGCGCTCCTAATATAGCAGAGTTTGAACTTTCCTTTCTTAAGCATCATCTTTTCTTGTTGGCCCTTCTGTGTAATCAGTGTTAGATGTGGACATTCTTTTTGAACTTGAACTGGTGATAAACTGGTGTGTGGTGTTTTCTCATGTAAGCATGTATGCATATAAATGTGTGTGTGTGTGTGTTACACATTCTCCAAGTATAGTGTACTCTTCAGAGTTTCCTTTGACTGCTTCTGACAGGGTGGCAACAATCATGACAACCAATTTAGCTCACTCTTTATTGAGACCCATTTTCCTGGAGCCATGTGACTCCAGAATTTCAGTTTTTCCCTCAAGCTTGAAATGACAACAGAAATAATTATCTCTTGGCTTTAATAAAACGAAGTAATAACTTATTCCTGATGTTTATACAATAAAATTTCATGATTATTGCATGTCTGGGACTGACTATATGCATTCTTTTCTAATTAGTGGAAATGGTGTTGCGATTACTGACTCTTTCCTCCTCTTGTCTTAGAGTACTTTAATTTCATGTTTTATGCTGTCACATCCATATGTGGGGTAGTGAGATGAGAAGCTTCTTGTCACATGAGCTGTACTTAATCTGTCACTGACTTCTCGGGTGATCCTGGATAATCCCTAAATTTTTTGCCTGAATTTTAGTCGATAAAGTAGTACTAATATCTGTTGGGCAAGGTGTTCCTCTGAATTACTGCAAGTGTAAAATTGTTCCGTTGTGTGTCATTGCTATCATAGGTGCCCATGGATGGGCACCTTTATTTGCTTCAACTTCCAGAATCAGCCACAGTTACTAGACCTGCCACTTCTTCTCACAGAACTTTTTTTTTTTTTTCAAAGTAAAGGTTCGGTTGGCTGTTGATAGAAACTCCTCTGTGTTGGTATGTTTTTGAACTGGGATTTTTAAAAAAAGACTCCAAATGTAGGGTTTAGCTTATCCTTCTTCTTTTCCCTTGTTTATGATAAATGCATATCTTATGACAAAAGTACTCAAATATTTCTTGCTGTTCAGCTTTTTCTTGTACCTGTGTCTGTTACTCTTCTGCTGAGGAGAATGCGATTCAGAAATACGGTATGAATTGTCTATGCTTGTGATAAAAGCTGAGAACTATAGGACAGTTGGTCTGAGACAGTGATAGTGGTAGTTTTCCTGGACTGTACTCCAAACTCAGGAGCGACTGGGGCACCGTGTTTTTACTCCGAAGAGCGGACTTCTTTCCCCTGGCTTTTCTTCATAGTGATTTTGGTCCTGGCAGGGTTGAGATGCTGCTGCTGTCATTCATGCAGTGGTGACGGTTACTGCAAACCACTGATCCGTTACTGTGTGCTGACTCAATGGTGAAAAGTTGCTTTAATTTCCTGCCTTTTCAAGGGTAAAATAGACTCTCTATGCCGTATGCTGGTACCTGGATTCCTGATGGAAGATACAAAACTTTGATCTGTCTCCCACTGGAGCTGCAGTTTAAACTGGTGTGTTGATATTTTCACTGTTTTCCTGTGGCTGCTGCCAAAGAAGTTAACCTGCGTAGTAGTTCTTACCTGCTGGGATTACTCACCTTGACACGAAGCATTTGTCTTTCAAGCAAATTTTCCTAAGTGCTTTGCACAGGGATATTATCTTCTTGTGCATTAGTATGTCATCTGGCATGATATGCAGGTAGGGACATTTCATTCTTACCATAATTTAGTCAGCAAAACTGATTGTAGTAATACTGCTTGCTTAGAATCATAGAACTGGAATATCACGAGCTGGAAGGGACCCGTTATGTGAACATTGCAAAGATATTAATCAGCATAATACTAGATGTATTTCTGAGACGAAATGTCTTTATTTCATGGCTTGCAAGATGTTTGACAGGGTGGAGAGTTGACTGGTTTTGCCATGCCTTAGGACAGTGTGGCATCTTTTTCCCAAATGCACATGTTGAAGCAGTAGCTTTAAAGGGGAAGCTCCCACGGTTTCTTTCCCTTGCAGAAATGCAAACTTTGGTTTCTTTGTAAACTTAAAGTGAAAAATGATCGTTCTAGTGCTGTGTTCGATCTTGGTAATGATGTATCTTATGCTCAGCTTTTCTGAAATGACAGCAGGAGCTTTTTGCATAGCTGCACAGCAGAGCAAAACAGAGCTGACTGTGCAGCAGTTATCCTTCAGACATGTCTAAATTTTTCAGTCTATTTATGAGTATCAACAAACACTTTGTGCATACTTTTGCCATGCGTTGAATGCTTCTATTTTCCTTTAATTTAGCTTAAAACTAGTAATGGAATTCCTGAGGTTTCGAAAGGAATAGCTCTTGGCAAGCCTAGGATTTTGAAACCAAAGGCAAATTAAGATACCAAGCAAATACAGGGAGGGCTACTTCTTCAGGGAAGTATGTTAAGATTCTTCCGACATCTTACAGTTTGTTTTATTTATGTTTTAAAAAAATAATTAAAATCTTTCTTTGAAATACTCCTTTAAAGTACAGCTGTTGTTATCTTTCTTTAAAAAAAAAATCTTAATGGAACACAAGGGGACTTTTTTCCCCCCCTTGATGTCACTTAAGAAGTTTAGCCTTTTCAGCTAGCCATTAGAAGTAGAGGGGGTAATACTCCTTTCTTTGTAGCTGTCTGAATTTTTCAAATTAACTCATACACTGATTGAAGCATGTAATTAGACTACATATTTTATTTTAAATAAAACATGCTCTTGCTTTTAAATCACTGCAATAATTGTAACTGGAAGTAGCTGTTATTATATATGTTTCAGGTGGTACAATAATACAGTCAAAAAAATTGTTTACATTTTCAAAGTGTAGTTGTGCTTTTTATAAAGCATATAGCTAAGCTGCTTTAGCAGAGACATAAGAGGAGATACGACGTAGGGAAACTTGCCTGGCTGTCACAGCCTTGTCCCTCTCCGGCTGCAGCACAGCTTGCTGTAAGCACATTCCCTCTTCTCTACCCTCTTCTCGCGAATCCCGAGATGTGCAGCATTCATAGAAATCTTGTGTGCTGTCGCCTTTATTTAGGTTACTGCATTTCTTTGTGCAATTTCGTGGCTCTGTGTGCCTTCATTCAGTCCTGCATTTCTTTGCAGCGTTTCTTATTATCATAAACATTTTGAATGTCTCAGGGCTCATCATCATCTCTCTCAAACTTAACTTGTTTGCTCACCATTTGCGATGCTGCTGACAGCGGTATAATCCTCTCTCACCCAGGGCAGTTGTTAGGGAGCAGCCGTCTTTTCTTCTTCTTCTCCTTGAATCCATGTTCATGCTTTATTCATATCCTCCTCCTTCCTTGTCCAAACAACATTTTCAAGACCTTGTTTTCTTTTTCTGTCTTTACAAATGAAGTTTAGGCCTGTATCTGTCATCTGGAGTACTTCAAGTACCTTCTCCCTCTTCTCCTGATATTCTTGTTTCTGCAATCTGTTTAAAATACAACTGGTACAATTTTTCAATAGTCTACCTGCTAGTTTTCCTCATCAAGCTAAAGACTGTTGTCTTTGAATTTGAAAACCTGCATCTTATATTTCTGCATCATAGTCTTTTTTTTCCCTGCTGCTCTTGGCGCTCAAATCTATTTTTCTCTTTTTTTTTTTTTTTTTTTCTCCCTCTCTGTCTTTACTTATGTTTCATGTTATATTCTTCACTTTGATTTAGGAAACTTTTGAGTATAATTGTATGTTATATGTTAATGTTACTCCAAGAGAAAATTATTGCACCTCTGACTTTTCTTCAAGAGTGTTAGTGTCCTGTTGTGTCTCTGCTTGTACAGATGAACTACGTTCCTATCTGCCAAAGCTGACAGGGATGCATGTTACCTTTAGATCTTTTTTTTTTTTTTTTTTTTTTAGAAAGACCCTTGAAAGGTATGTTGCTGCATATCTTCCAAATCTGGTTCACTTGTCCGACGACTATGCTTTTTACTTTGGAGTAAGCAGAGAACACGACTGGCATGCGTTAAACTCTCATTGTGTGAGTACAGTGTCAGATTTTGTGGACTTTTATTATCGTATGTGTTTTCAGTTAGTAAATATTTTTTTCTACACTTGGCAGCTTTCTTTGGTGTGGCAAATTGGATGTAATCTGCAGCTTTTATTTAAATTATATACAAATTGAATTAAACTGGCAATAAAAGTAATATTAAGTGCCATGTCCTATACTTGACTTATTGCAGAACTAAAACTAATATTAACAGAGTTAATATTTTGTTATTTTTTTTTAATAAGAAAAGCCAAGTGACTCTTGAATATTTTTTTTCGTGTCTCGTGAAACTGGGTCACAAGATTTTTTGTGGCTTGTGTTTTGGTTTTTGTTTGTGGTGTTTTGCTATGTGGTTGGTTGGTTTTTTTTTTGAGAAAGTTAAACATTTGGGGCTCCTTATTATTTGAATTTTTTTGGCTGGTAATGCAATGAAAAAGTAAAATAATTATAAAAGCTAAAATAATAGATTTTAACACACAGCTTGCTATAGGTGTCTAAAAATATTTTAGGATAGTGGAGTTAAATTGTTGTGAATCTCTTCTGGGTCATGGCAGCTGCCTTGTGTTTCATTCTCTTAAAGCCTACTGAGTAGACTTTCATGCCTTGAAAGTGAAAGCGCAGTGTATGTCTTACTCATCAATTTGTACTGCCCTAAATGTACAAGGACTAGGGCAGTTAATTCCTGTTAATTCTCACAGGTGTACAAATGTTAATGCTAAAGTAAGCTGGATGTTTTGTATAGGTCTATAAGGTATTTGTGCAGCTAGACTGGAGGTATTCTTAAATAATTCACCCTAATATAAGGTTCCTAAAAGCATTTAATTGACAAATGTTTGGATGTTCTGTGTGAGTGTGAATGCCTACTTTCTTATCTTTCTGATAGTTGTGTCTTTCTTCATTTACTGTGTAAGTTTCAGACGATAGTATTCAGTTCCTGAGAGAGCTTCCTCTGCACTTGCAATTTTGTGAGGAAGGATACCATTATGTTACTCTTTATTATTAAAAGGCATTTGGTTAAAACATTTTAGATCTTAGAAAGTTATGAATATCCTAATACTAAATACAGTATTATCCAATAAATTGTTCTCTAAACTTGAACTTTGTGGTATTTATTTAGTATTATTATAATAACATTGTTGTGCCTATATTTAGAGAAGTTCTGAGTAATACATGCCAATCGGTCAGCGCTGCAACTCCAGAGAGTGCTCCATTCCTAAAAATTGCTGGACTAGAAAAGAATGTATACAGGAAGGGGAAAAGGCAATGTGCTACATAGGCTTCAGACAAACTAATTTATTTTTTTTTAAATTTTTTCTTCCTTCCCTCCTCTCTTTTTTGGTAGACGGGTGGATGGGTGAACCTTTCTTATCCAGTGCTTACATCCTCCCTCCCCAGGTTCCAGAAGTTTTTCTGATGATGGAGGCGGGGAGAGCATTTCCAGCTTGTCCTCTGGGTCTTTAGTTCTAGAGCAGTGTGTGTTTTGTCTCAGAGGTACAACGTTTACCAGAAACTTAAATAAGCTTCTAGTTTTTCTAAAACTCTTTGGGTTTAAGAGTATATTATGACTGTTATTTTAAGATACGTATGGCCACCTAGGGTCTTGAAATATTTTTACTAGTAAAGGACAACAAAGTGCCCTTCAAAATATAAAGTTCAAGATATTTGTCTTGGATTTTCTGTGCCTAGGGTCAATGTGGGTCATATGATCTTCACAAATGTGTTTTCTTTTACTATGACTTTAGTCCGTAAGTGTCAGTACATTTGCTCAATAAGTATTTATTTCTTCCTGCTTGAGGATTCCTTATTCTATAAGGTCCCTCTAAACTGGTCCTGTAGACCACAATTTCATGTTTGTCTGCTAAATTTAAATTTACTTCCCTTGAAGAGTACGTATTTCTTATGTCAGCTGGAATATAGAATTCTATTTGTTAAATGGATGTATCTTACTAATTTTAAATTGCATGTTTTTTTAAATAGCTTCATATCACAGTAAAAAGTAGTCTAACATTGTGAGTAGTGTGAAATTAAAAAAAAACAAACCTACCCTTCTGAAGGCTTGATTGTACCATTGCCATATCAGTTTAGCATTCTTCTGTGAATTCTTCACTGCTGATGTTAAAATAAATCAATAGCAGTTATTTATACTAAAGCCTGTCCCCTATCCTGTCTCTGCCCTCCAAGGACTTAAGCGCCTCCAATTTACCATGGGGTAAAAATGAATAAAAAAAAATATATATAATTGGCAAGCAGTTAAATTAAGTTTTATGTTCACTTCTCACCTCTGATAGCTTCCTGTATCCCTATCTATTGATAAATTAATTGGAGCACAATTTTGAGTGACTCTTTTATTTATTTACATCCTGATTCATGTAAGATTTTGCTTAGTGTTTTGACTTCTCATTGAACTATAGGTGACAAAACTTAATGAGATATGTTGGAAGAATAAGGTTCAATTTAAGTGTATGTTGGTCAGTTTGGAGTTTACTCCAAACTTAGATCATTATGAATGATGATTTTGTAGTTCGGAGTATGAAGATGTCTGAAGAGGAGGAAACCTGAGGCTGAGGCTCTGAAGACAGACTGAAGTACTTAATATGAAGTAGTGTAGTCTAGGGAAAGCTCTTAATAAAATGATTGAGTATTGACTACCATGAGATACTTTACGCTACTACGTAACCAGTTGTTATGTGGTAGGTCAAACTGCTTTTGCATTGATTATAAGATGACTGGTTGCAGTTGTACTCTTAGGTTGACTTGCTCTAGTGCTGACTTATAAAGTGAGCAGTGCATTAAGGGTGGTGCACTGGATTCTTATGAAGTGTTTTATCGTAAGCATAAGTTTTCATATTGTACATGAAATGTGTAGGTTTAGGCTTTTGCACTAAAAAAGTTAAGTATTTGTTTCAACATACTATGCATTTAGTAGCTAATTATTTTGAGATTTCTGACAGGTTTTAATGAACTGTTGTAGTGCTTGATTACATACAGTTCTAGAATTTTTTCAAGAAAATAAACATATTTGAAATAAGATCGTTTTCTAATCCTGTCAGATGTCAAATTGTCTAGAATAGGCAGATCGTATGTCTGCACATTGCCTTCCAGTGCCCCATGTAAAAGTGTGTGACCTAAGTGTGTGTGGGCTTTGTTTTTGAATTTAATGGAGATATGCAAGTGAACATAGCTTTTATTGTTAATTAATACCTAAAATTGTTGGGGGGGTGGGGGGGGGTTGGATGGGGAAGGGATGACTAGTGTTCATTCTTTTATAGAAAGAAAATCTTCAGCTCTCTTCCATCATTTGTGTGCTTTCAGCTTTATGTTCTGGTCCATCATTAGACTGTAGAAATGCTAGCATTCAGATTGTCAAAAATTGGACATAACCCAGGAGCTGAAAAGAATGTAAACTCTTGTATAATGAAATATGAAAACCCTCCTTGTCAGCTAAGGAGGAATAAGTGGAATACTGTATTAATGAGGTTTTAAAGTAGTTAGATTTTAGGTTTGTTCTGTATGAAATGTTATTTCTCAAGTGTGCTATACCAAGGAAATGTAGCTTCAGAAAGCCTTCTCTATTCTTGACTTCAGAACAAACAAGAAAATATCACAGAAGAATGCTTGAGATGATGGAATAGTAAAGCCTAGCAGTGTATGGTGAACAGTAGATGTATTTTACATACTACTTTGAATAGTAAATATCGTGGGCTGACTGTTAGTGATTTGAGAGAAATCTTGGTTTGCGTTCATTGTAAAGGCTTTCTATGAATTAATTCCAGTACCAAACACAACTTTCCTAAAGTCAAATCACTGATTACCGTTCATTATGAATGGACTGTTTTGAGGTGGTGGGTAATTGTAGGAAATTTTGTAACTACATAAGCGCATGTGAAAAATAAGTAAAACTATAAAGAATAAGGGGATGTTGTTTTTGAAATGCAAGTATAAAGTTATGAATAAAATCTAACTAAAACTGTCAGCAAAACGTTGATGTTAAAGTTTGTACGTTAAAAGCTATTTGTTGAGTTACTCATAGGCTAACCCAAATAAATTTTATTTAAACTTTCTTTGGGTTTCAAATCTGTATTTGTGAATATATTTCTTCTATGCTACTAGTGAGAGTAAAACCATTGTTGACTGGAAATTTCATAGAAATCTCAGAAACCTTGAAGCTGAGTTTCTTTTGCTCTGTGCTAAAATACCATCCTGCTTTCTTTCCGAATGGAATAGTGACAGCGTAGCTTGGGCCAGGCAGTGCACTTTCTACTTTGCTTTGCACAGATACCTTGTGCGTGCAGGATTAAATTATTTGTAAATTAGTTTACAGTGTGCCTGACAGTATTTTGTTTGTTTGCTTTAAGCAGCCATGATGTGAACTGCAGCAATTTAGCAGCTGATTTGTGAGTGGTTCAGTGTTTGACTCCTGAATGAGCTGGGGATTTTGTTGGGGGGCTGGCACCTTGTGAGGATAGTGAATTTATCCGCTGGCTCCTTGGTGATGGTGGTTGCTACTTCCCAGAACTAAATTTTGTTTCCAAGAAAACTGTAAACACTTCCCTATGAAGTGTGTGCATTCATACGGACACATTAGGCCTGTGCCTAATGTGATGAATTGTACCAATGAGTTATGTGATGCCCTGTAATTTCTTCATACAGGGTTTATGCACTATTTATACATCTATTTTAGTACTTTTTTTAATAAGCTACTGGATGGGCTTCATCTAAGATTATATTTCACTATTGATGGCATAAGCCTGTAGTTTGGGTAGAGATTTTAGAAACTTGAAAATGTAATTAAACTTCTTAAAAGTGTGAGCTATAGGTGATTCTCTAGGGAAACTCTCAAATGAGTCATGAACGGTACCACACAAGTAGTAAACTGTGTTCTGAGGATCTTATGGTTACTTCTTGTTCCCTGGCCTATCTGATGGCCGGCACGGAAGCCTAGATGTGTTAGAGATTAAAGAACTCGGCTATCGCTTCAGTACGTAGTGAGT